TGGGCAGACACCAAGCTAGCCACAGGAGTCTTTTTTCCATACCCCAGGCCACTGGGGCACCTGGAATGCCAGTGAGACAGAACCGATCACTCCCCTGGAAAGGGGGCTGAAGCCAGGGAGCCAAGTGGTCTGGCTCGGTGGTACCCACCCCCAGGGAGCCCAGCAAGCTAAGAGCCTCTGGCCTGAAATTCTCACTGCTATCACAGAAGTCTGAGCTTGACCTGGGATGTTCAAGCGTGGTGTGGGGAGGGGTGTCCACCATTGCTGAGGCTTGAGTGGGCGATTTTACTGTCACAGTGTAAACAAAGTGGCTGGGAAGTTCAAACTGGGCAGAGACCACTGCAGCTCAGCAAGGCCGATGAGGCCAGACTGCCTCTACTCTCTGGGCAGGGCATCTCTGAAAAAAAGGCATCAGCCCCAGTCAGAGACTTATAGATAAAACACCCATCTCCCTGGGACAGAGCACCTGGGGGAAGAGGCAGTTGTGGGTGCAGTTTCAGCAGACTTAAACAACCCTGCCCAACAGCTCTGAAGAGAGCAGTGGAACTTCCAGCAGTGTTTCAGTTCTGATAAGGGACAAACCACCTCCTCAGATGGGTCCCTGACCCCCCTGTATCCTGACTGGGAGACACCTCCCAGTGGAAAAGACACCTCATACAGGAGAGCTCTGGCTGGCATCTGGTGGGTGCCCCTCTGGGACAAAGCTTCCAGAGGAAGGAACAGGCAGCAATCTTTGCTGTTCTGTAGCCTCTGCTGGTGATACCCAGGCAAACAGGGTCTGGAGTGGACCTCCAGTAAACTCCAGCTGACCTGGCGCAAAGGGGCCTGACAGTTAGAAGGAATAGTATTAACATCAACAAAAAGAAAGTCCATTTAGAGACCTCATCTGAAGGTCACCAACTTCAAAGACCAAAGGTAGATAAATCCACAAAGATGGGAAGAAGCAATAAGGCTGAAAATTCCAAAAATTTTGGCAATCTATCTATCTGACAAAGGGCTGATATCCAGAATAGAAAAAGAACTTAAACATATTTACAATAGAAAACCAAACAGCTCCATCAAAAAGTGGGTGAAGGATATGAACAGACATTTCTTAAAAGAAGACATTTATGTGGCCAACAAACAGATGAAAAAAAGCTTATCAACCCTGGTCATTAGAGAAATGCAAATCAAATCCACAATGAGATACTATCTCATGCCAGTTAGAATGGCGATCATGAAAAAGTCAGTAAACAACAGATGCTGGAGAGGATGTGGAAAAATAGGAATGCGTTTACACTGTTGGTGGGAGTGTAAATTAGTTCAACCATCGTGGAAGACAATGTGGTGATTCCTCAAGGATCTAGAACTAGAAATGCCATTTGATCCAGCAATCGTATTACTGGGTATATACCCAAAGGATTATAAATCATTCTATTACAAAGATACATGCACACGTATATTTATTGTGGCACTGTTCACAATAGCAAAGACTTGGACCCAACCCAAATGCCCATCAATGTTAGACTGGATAAAGAAAATGTGGCACATATACAGCATGGAATACTATGCAGTGAGAAAATGATTTCATGTCCTTTGCAGGGACATAAATGAAGCTGGAAACCATCATTCTCAGCAAACTAACACAAGAACAGAACACAAGAAAGCCAAACACTGAATGTTCTCATTTATAAGTGGGAGTTGAACAATGAGAACACATGGATACAGGGAGGGGAACATCACATACAAGGCCTGTTGGGGGGTGGGAGGTTACAGGAGGGACAGTGTTAGGAGAAATACCTAATATAGATAACAGGCTGATGGGTGCAGCAAACTGCCATGGCACATGTATACCTATGTAACAAACTTGCATGCTCTGCACATGTACCTCAGAACTTAAAGTATAATTTAAAAAAAAAAACAGTGAGAAAACTATAGGGCAATGTCCCTGATGAAACTTGATGCAAAAATCCTCAGCAAAATACTAGCGAACTGAATTAAACAAAACATTTAAAAAGTCATTCATCATGACCAAGTGGCATTCATCTCAGAATGCAAAGATAGTTCAACATATACAGATCAATCAACGTGATACATCCTGTCAATCAACAGAATGAAGAACAAAAACCATATGATTTTAATTGATGCTGAAAAAGCATGTGATAAAATTCAACATCTCTTCATGATAAAAACCCTCAACAAACTGGAAGTAGATGGAAGATACTTCAACACAATAAAAGCCATATATGACAGGTCCATAGATAGTATCATACTGAATGGGGAAAAACAGAAAGCCTTTTCCCTGAGATCTGGAACAACACAAGAATGCCCAATTTCACCACTGTTATTCAATGTAGTGCTGGAAGTCTTAGCTAGAGCAATTAGACAAGGGAAAAGATATAAAGGGCATCCAAATTGAAAAAGAAGTACTCGAATTATCCATGTTTGCAAATAATATGATCTTGTATTTGGAAAATCCTAAATACTCCACCAAAATAAATTATTAGAAGGGGTAAACAAATTCAGTAAAGTTGCAGGACACAAAATGAACATACAAAAATCAATAGCATTTATATATTTGTTAACAGCAAACAATCAGAAAAAGTAAGAAAATAATCCCATTTATAGTAGATACAAATAAAATACCTAGGAATAAAAATCAACCAAAGAAGTGAAATATCTATACAATAAAAACTATAAAACAGGCCGGGCGCGGTGGCTCAAGCCTGTAATCCCAGCACTTTGGGAGGCCGAGGTGGGTGGATCATGAGGTCAAGAGATCGAGACCATCCTGGTCAACATGGTGAAACCCC